GATCATTTCATTAGATGCTGAAAAAGCATTTGACAAAATTCAACATCCATTTATGTTAAAAGTCTTGGAGAGATTAGGGATACAAGGGTCATACCTAAATATAATAAAAGCTATATACAGCAAGCCGACAGCTAACATCAAATTAAACGGAGAGAAACTCAAAGCCATCCCGCTTAACTCAGGAACACGGCAAGGCTCTCCACTCTCACCATACCTCTTCAATATAGTGCTTGAAGTTCTAGCAATAGCAATAAGACAATATAATGGGATCAAGGGGATTCGATTTGGAAAGGAAGAAGTTAAACTTTCGTTATTTGCAGATGATATGATAGTGTACATAAGCGACCCCCAAAACTCCACCAAAGAACTTATACAGCTGATAAACAGCTTAGTAATGTGGCAGGATACAAGATCAACTCCAAAAAATCAGTCGCCCTCTTATACACAAAGGATAGGGAAGCAGAGAGGGAAATCAGAGAAGCTTCACCATTCACGATAGCCACAAACAGCATAAAGTATCTTGGGGTAAATCTAACCAAGGAAGTGAAAGATCTATTTGACAAGAACTTTAAGGCATTGAAGAAAGAAATTGAAGAGGATACCAAAAAATGGATGGACCTCCCTTGCTCTTGGATTGGGAGGATCAACATAGTAAAAATGGCAATTCTACCAAAGGCAATTTATAGATTCAATGCAATCCCCATCAAGATCCCATCAAAATTCTTCACAGATCTGGAGAAGACAATAATCAACTTTATATGGAAAAACAAAAAACCCAGGATAGCCAAAACAATCCTATACAATAAAGGATCTTCTGGAGGCATTACCATCCCTGACTTCAAACTCTATTACAGAGCTACAGTAATGAAAACAGTGTAGTACTGGCATAAAAACAGAGAAGTCGACCAATGGAATCGTATAGAAGACCCGGATTTTATCCCACAAACCTCATTTTGAACAAACCTCATTATGAACACCTCATTTTCGATAAAGGAGCTAAAAGTATACAATGGAAGAAAGAAAGCATCTTCAACAAATGGTGCTGGCACAACTGGATGTCAACCTGTAGAAGAATGAAAATAGACCCATATCTCTCACCGTGCACAAAACTCAAGTCCAAATGGATTAAAGACCTCAATATCAGTCCGAACACACTGAACCTGATAGAAGAGAAAGTGGGAAGTACCCTACAACAGATGGGCACAGGAGATCGCTTCCTATGTATAACCCCAGAAGCACAGACATTAAGGGCAACATTGAATAAATGGGACCTACTTAAACTGAGAAGCGTCTGTAAAGCAAAGGACACTGTCACTAAGACACAAAGGCAACCTACTGACTGGGAGAAGATCTTCACCAACTACGCAACAGACAACGGTCTGATCTCCAAAATATATAGAGAACTCAAGAAACTAGACTTTAAAATGCTAATTAACCCAATTAAAAAATGGGGCACTGAACTGAACAGAGAATTCTCAACAGAAGAAGTTCAAATGGCCAAAAGACACTTAAGGTCGTGCTCAACTTCCTTAGCAATCAGGGAATTGCAAATCAAAACAACTTTGAGATATCATCTTACACCTGTCAGAATGGCTAAACTCAAAAACACCAAGGATAACCTTTGCTGGAGAGCCTGTGGAAGAACGTGTACCCTCATCCATTGCTGGTGGGAAGGCAATCTTGTGCAACCACTGTGGAAGTCAGTGTTTCGGTTTCTCAGGAAATTCGGGATCAACTTACCCCTGGACCCAGCAATACCACTCTTGGGAATATACCCAAGAGATGCTCTATCAAATGACAAAAGCATTTGTTCAACTATGTTTATAGCAGTATTATTTGTAATAGCCAGAACCTGGAAACAACCTAGATGCCCTTCAATGGAAGAATGGATGAAGAAAGTATGGAATATATACACGCTAGAGTACTACGCTGCAGTAAAAAACAATGACTTCTCGAATTTTGCATGCAAATGGATGGAAATAGAAAACACTATCCTGAGTGAGGTGTCCCAGACCCAAAAAGATGAATATGGGATGTATTCACTCATAATTGTTTTCTAGCCATAAATAAGGACCACGGAGTCTATAATAGGTGTTCCTAAAGAAGCTAAGGAAGAAGGTGAACCGAAGGAAAAACATATAGTTGTCCTCTTCCCTAAGGGAAGTAGACCAAATTTCCGGGGTGAAAATGGGATCTTGGGGGGGGGTGGGATGGGGGTAAGGGGAGATGGGGAGAGAAAAGGTAGAAGGGAAGTAGGGGGGACCTGGGAAACGGGAGAATTGGGATAAAGGAAAGGTGGAAAGGGGAGCACGGAACCACAATTCTTAGTTAAGGGAGCCACTTTAGGGTGGGCAAGTGACTTGACCCTAAAGGGGCTCCCTAGTGCCCAAGATGAGGTTCCCAGTTAGTTCCTTGGGCAGCTGAGGATTGGGAACCTGAAATGACCCTATCCTAGAGCAATACTGACGAATATCTTGCATATCATCATAGAATCTTCATCTGGTGATGGATAGAGATAGAGACAGAGACCCACACAGGAGCACTGGACTGAGCTCCCAAGGTCCCAAGGAGGAGCAGAAGGAGGGAGAACATGAGCAAAGAATTCGGGACCACGAGGCGTGCATCCACCTACTGAGACAGAGGAGCTGATCTACGGGGAGCTCACCAAGGCCAGCTGGACTGTGACTGAAAAAGCATGGGATAAAACCGGACTCTCTGAACATGGCGAACAATGAGGGCTGATGAGACACCAAGGACAATGGCAGGGGGTTTTGATCCTACTTAATGTGCTGGCTTTGTGGGAGCCTAGCCAGTTTGGATGTTCACCTTCCTAGATATGGACGGAGAGGACCTAGGACTTAACACAGGGCAGGGAACCCGGACTGCTCTGTGGACTGGAGAGGGAGGGGGAGAGGAGTGGGGGGAGGGGGAGAAGGGTGGGAGGAGGGGGAGAAGGGTGGGAGGAGGGGGAGAAGGGTGGGAGGAGGGGAAGGGAAAGGGGAGGTTGGGAGGAGGTGGAAACCTGTTTTTTGTTTATGTTTTTTTTCTTCTTTTCGCAATAAAAAAAAAGAGAAAAAAAATGAACCATCCACAGTTTCCTACTTCTAAACTAATAGGACCTTATAAAAGTGTACACTGGTTATAATTATTGCTTGCATATTTTTTGAACATTTGCATTTTGGTAAAAATTAGCTCGCACATCAAAGTCCAAGCTAATGATTCCTGTGCATGCATATTGTGCAACTCAGACCACAAAATTCTGAGCCACAAATATGCACATCCTTGCAGACATCAGCTGTGGTCCCTGGTCCATATCTCTTCAGCCCATAGTAGCAGAGTTCTACGATTTTCACAGCTTGTGTTTTTGTTAGTGCTTTTGTTGATCCCATAATTACTCTTCTGCACTCTCTGTTGCTGGTCTGTGTTTGGTTTTCTGACTTCTGTTTTGTAGGCTTGGAATTATAATGGAAGTCAATACAGGAAAATACATCTTAAGTGAAGGACAAGATGGGAAAAGCACAGGGTAATACTGAGATTGTGAATGCAAGAGTTGGGTGTAGTGAGAGAAAGGTGCTGAGAGGGTAGAAAGCATCAGAATTTGGGAAAATAAAAAGAAAGTCTTGTGAAAATACAAATTTGATGCAAAGGTTTTGTGTTTTATTACAAAAATGCATTAAATGTTTCCACTGTGCTGACTATATACATATGCAGAAATAAAAACTGACCTAAGACAGCATGAAGACAGCCTTCTGTTGCCTGCTTTTGAGGTGGGAAAGGGAACGGAAGAATGGGGAGTAAAAAGTGATCATAGGGAGAAATTCAGAATGCAAACAATTGAGTGCTTCAAATATAAACTTGTCTCCAAAGCAACCACTGAGAGGAAGACAGACGGTGACAAGAAACATCACATTTACAAAATTCCTGGGGCTGTAGGACAGCATCTCTAAGAACTGAGTAAAATTTTCCCTCCTTCTTCAACTGGACCATGGGAGCTCAGTTCAGTGCTCTGATGTGGGTCTCTGTCTCTGTCTCTGTCTCCATCTGTTGCCAGACAAAGGTTATATGGTGATATTCAAGATAGTCATCAGTCTGACTACAGGATCAGCAAGGAAGTCAGGACTGCGAGGGTTTGGTTCACCCACTGAGACAGTGTTCCTGAGCTAATGGGAGCTCACCAACTCCAGCTGGACTGGGAATGAACAAGTATGGGACCAATCTTGGCACTCTGAATGTGGTTGACAATTGGGGCAGACTGAGGGGCCAATGATAATGGCACTGAGATTTGTCACTACTGCATGTATTGGGTCTTTGGGATTCTATTCTCTCTGAGTACACACCTTCCTAAGCCTGGATGTAGGAGGGAGGACCATGGACTTCACCCAGGGCAGGGTGCCTTGCCCTCTCTTACGACTGGAGGGGGTAGGAGAAAGCTGTGGGGGGAGGCATGAGGGAAGTGTGAGGAGGGAAGAGAGTGGGAATTTTAATTGGTATTATTTTTAAAGTAATAAAAAAGAGAGAAAAAAGAACTGAGTAAAACTGACATCAGTAAAGTTCCTAAAACAGTGAAGGAGTTCTACTTAGAAGTAGGTGAGACCCTATGCAAGATTCATCCCAGGAAGAATCCATGTCCAGCAAAGACAGAGGGACAGACAGAGCTTATATCTAGAAACACAGCAGTGTGCAGAGCTTTTTAACTTCACATTGACCCTAAAGAGACATGACAGTGTGGAAATACAGCATTCCCTGTGCATATAGTGAAAAGAGAGCTAAATATAGTGTTGTGAATCACTAACAAGGAAAATGTGTACAGAGAGCTACGTTAATTCTTCAATTTCTATTCCTCTCATCAGTGTGTATGATGTCTTATATCAGCTCTGAGTACTGCCTTCTGCCCAGGTCCAACTACAGAACATGTTAATGGCAGGATGATATGCAAATAAGGCTTCGTTGTACCCGTAAAAACTAGGCATGCCCTGACCCTGCACCTCTGGCAGAGGAGACCAGCCCTGTATTCCAAAGTCCTCCCAGTCAGGGTTCAGCACTGAACACAGACCGCTCACCATGGACTTAGGGCTTATACTGATTTTCTCTGTCCTTATTTTAAAAGGTAATTTATAAAGATGAGATACTGTGTGTTGTGTGGAAACAAGAAAGAGAAAAAAAAATGTTTTTTCATCAGTTTTCTAACCAGAGTTCTTTGTGTTTACAGGTGTTCTGTGTGAGGTGCAGTTGCTGGAGTCTGGGGGAGGCTTAGTGCAGCCTGGAAATTCCCTGAAACTCTCCTGTGCAGCCTCTGGATTCTCCTTCAGTAGTTATGACATGAACTGGGTCCGCCAGGCTCCTGGGAAGGGGCTGGAGTGGGTCGCATACATTAGTTACAGTGGTGGTACCACCAGGTATACTGACGCTGTGAAGGGCCGGTTCACAATCTCCAGAGACAATGCCAAGAACACCCTATACCTGGAAATGAGCAGTCTGAGGTCAGAGGACACAGCCATGTATTACTGTACAACAGACACAGTGAGTGAATGCTACTGTGAGCTCAGACAAAAACCCTGCTGTGGGGAACACAGAACCAGCAGGGGGCGCTGAGATCCCTTAGAAATCAGGGTCAGAGAGTCTGCTTAGAGAAAAATGGAAGACTAGATTTCTCTGTGTCTGCACTGCCTCTTCATATTGTATTTAGGGATTTTCTCTACAGGTATAGAGTGTAGTAATTCTTGAATGTCCAAATGTTTGTTCCAATTTCTTTTTCCTGTTGGTTTGTGTGTGTTTGTTACAGTGTTTCTCCTTGTTTCCCTTTAACTCTGTCTACCTGTCTCTCTCAGTGTCTCATTCTCTCTCTCACTCTCCCACTTTCTCTCTCTCTTTTGTTCCTCACATTTTCTCTCTAACTACTGTGTGTGTGTGTGTGTGTGTGTGTGTGTGTGTGTGTGTGTGTGCTGACATGATGCTCAACAGTCTCTGTCTTCCTCTTTTCAATGTGTGGCAGACACTGTTACTCATATGTGCAGTCTGATCACATTTTTACCTTTTAATTCAAGTCTGTGAGTTTAACATGAATTCCAGCACATCCTGTCGTTTAATTACACAGTGGTCTTGAAAGGTCATGGAGTCCAGACTCAGAATAGGTATCACCACTGAGGGTAAAGTTTCCTTCTACTTCTCCTTGTCCTCTCCATTCTGTTTTGTTGTTGTTGTTGTTGTTGTTGTTGTTTGTTTGTTTGGTTGGTTGGTTGGTTGGTTGGTTGGATTTATCCTCCCTACTCTACTATCTGTGAGATCCATGCTCAGTAGATTGATCCTTTATAGAATCAGTTATAAGTGGTGGGCATCAAAAAAGAAGAATTTGTGATTCCTTGTGTTTATTTTAATAGTGTATAAATGCAGTCATCCAAAACTATTTTCTGTAGTAAAAAAAGTGATGTTTAAAAAGATTGAACAAGGCTTGTAGCTCTGTGCTAGAGTGATTTCTGACAATGTGAAAGGTCTTAAGTTTAAGAAACAAACTCACTTAAAAGTATGAATTAAGCGCTTAGACAAATAATATTTCTCACTCTCTTAGAGTAAGTGCTTCAGGGTTTCAGGAGAAAGCCAGGTACACCATGTAAGGAATGTATGACTGATGATGATGCTCCTTGTCCCCGTGTGCAATGTTCCAGGTCCAGGTGAGGGAGTCAGGACCTGGCTTGGTGCAGCCATCACAGACTGAGACCCTTTCTCTTACCTGAACTCACTGTCTTCTCATTAGCCAGCTGTCATGCACATTGGGACACCAGCCTCCAGGAAAGCATCTAAAGTTAATGGGAATAATAAGGAATAATGAAAACACTGATTATAATTCAGTTTTCAAATCCAAGGACACCACCAGCAGGGACACCTCCAAGAGCCAAGTTTTCTTAAAATTGAATAGTCTGCAAACACAGCCATATATTACTGTATAAGACACATAGTGAGGGAATTCCAGTGTGAACCTGTACAAAAACTCTCTACAGAGACCTCAGGAACAGCAGGTGGTACTAAGGGCCAACAAAGCCTCCCCAGCAATAGCACAAGACATTTCAGTGTGTGCAATCAAAGCAGGTACACAAGCCCATGAAGGGTTGGCTTCTCTATTACTTGGGTTGCTCTGTGCATCAAAATCGTATTTTTCATTGCACTCTTCTAGAATTTATGTTTACTAATATTTAATGAATCTGACTATTTCTGAAGGCCCGTTTCTACTGTAATGTTTATTTTTTATACAATTTGCAATCTCATCTGAACAAGATAGTACCATAAAGGGAAGACCTGGCTATGCTGTGGGCACCAGGATCAATCTTGAAATAACAAAGGTTTCATTGGGATGGGGTACCTAGATTCACAACAGAGCTTCATTTAATTCTCCAGTTAGAGCAGAATTTGGGATTTTGGCAAGTGCCAACAGATCATGCAGGAATACCCTGGTAGGACTATAAACCTTTAACCTTGACTTCCTCCACTCTCTTCATCATCCTCACATGAAACATGAACATCATTTTTTTTTCATTGACCCTGGCTATGCTCTGGTACTTAGATCATGGAACCAATGCATCTATAGATAGTAGCTTAGCTTCAGTAGCCAGCAGGAGGTTCCTGGCTAACACTCTGCTTAAGGTGTCTCTGAGTCTCAAGTCCCTTTCTAGAAATGATCTCAAATTGCAATGTAGTTTGTAGGTCTTAGGATCTATTCTGGTCTTCTCAGATTGCTGGTGTATAATCAATTTGGTTTTGACTAAAATAAAATACTGTACACTTGCCGAGGTATTTAAACACATTTTAAAATTTATCAGTTTTATTTTCATCATGTAGATAGATTTCTCTCACCATTCCTTCCTCCACATAGATCTTACTTCCGCTGATTCACTTGCAAATAAGTTTTATGGTCTCTGCAGTGATATCCTTGATCTGAATATCAAATGTCCAAGCTTGTTGCACCTGTAGGAGTCTGGGAAATGCTTGTGTGTTTTGGGCTACACTCCATCACATTCTTTGAGCCTTCTGATTTATCTTACTGGAGAAGAATTACAAGTGGGTATTCAAATCAATGAGATAACAGTTGTCAACTCAAATGTGATGATAATAAGGATCTGTTTTTGGTCTGCTCACATTGTCATGGAGTTCTACAGCACAGCACTCCTCCCATTCTCTGGGTCTTACATGTTCTCCACCCTCACTACTGAGGTATTCTTTTGACATGGAGGAGGTGACATAGATGCCCACTAGACCTGAACACATACATCTGTTCTAAGCAATTTGAAAAGTTATGTGTCTCAGAATTAAGCATCTCTCCACTGCAAAAGAAGCTTATTGGATAAAGAATGAGATCAGCTCTAACTATGTGTTTAAAAATAAATATTTATACTGTATTTACAAATATGTCCAGTTAGCAAAATGATTGTAGTAGGTTCTTCTCTAAGAACTATGACCTCCCCAAGTCTAAGGGTCTAGTGTATCAGGCATCAATTCCTTCATGTAAATTAGGCCATCTTCAGCTTGATTCCCCAAACTGTGTGTAATGATGTCTTCAGCACTATCATCTGTTATCTATTCCTGGTAGGACACCAGAGTCAATGTCAAGAACTTGTTTTGTTTGAGAAGCCTTGGGCCTTTCCTTATGAGTAACCACTCATAAGGAGCCCTCTTATCCCAGACTCAGAGTAGGAAATAATATCCACAGCTTGAAGTGTATATAAAGATAAGAAAAATGAGAAGTCATATCACCAAGTTTGACTGTTAGCCAAACTTAAGGAAATGGGATGGATGGGAGCCTTGACATATGACACAAAAGTGATTCTCGAAACTTGGACTAGATTCCATCTGTCCTGAATCACATCTTCATCTCCACACACACAATGAAGAAACAGTTATCCCATAACTGAATTTTGTAAAGATGGAGGACATTGCCATATAGTAATTTGGTACAAATAAAAAAAAAATGAAGGGCCGTCAATGTGAGCCCTGATACAATACTCCTTGACTGGTTCCCAGGGCCAATAATGGGTGATTGGTTGAAGAAAGGGGTAGCATATTCAATAAACTATTCCTCATACCCTGATGTGACTTCCTGCATGCAAACTTATCTTCCAGTTCTGTTATATCCTTTCCTATAGGATGCAGGATCCCATAGCCTATGGGATCACATAGCTCTCTAACCCAAATTCTGACCTCAGGGTAAAGAGGGCTGTTGTACATTGATGAGACAAATAGTCTTCTCCTGTGACTGATGACATACCTCGAGGTGAATGTCACCATTGTGCACACATATCAGTACAGAACTTTTAACAGCAGATAATTGACAATGACTATTTTTTATTATACTCAGGTTGCTATTCCAGGTGAAACTTCAGGAGACAAGACCTAAACCGATTAAGCTCTCATAGTCATTTTTCCTCACCTGTCTTGTCATTGGTTTCTACATCACCAGCCTGGGCCTGGATTTGAGAGCTCCAAAGAAGGTCATAGAGTGGGTGAGTTACATAAACAGTGGTGGTGGTGGCACCATTGTAGTCCATCCTTCAAGAGAAGAAGGTTCATCATTAGTGACAAATCTGAGAACCAGTTCTTCCTGAAACTGTACTCTTGGACTACTGAGGACACTGTTGTGTATTGTTGGTAAAGAGACACAGGGAGGGTGTTTCTGTGTGAACCTAGACACAAAACTTTCTGTTGAGAAGCTTATGATCAGAAGGACACTATCAGCAGAGAACAAACCAAAGAAATCAAATTTGGAACAGACATGAAGAAAAAACTGGAGATTTTTCTCTAGTCTATTTTTTCATATTGTTTAGGATCTGCTCACTCAGAATATAATGGAGCTAACGGCTGTGTGCATGCTCTATGAGACAGGATGTGCTTAGCAGAATGTGTGCACATACAGATGCATCAGAGGGTGAAGTCATGTCTGCCACTGATGCTTGGATTGTAATGATTTACCAACATGATGAGGTCAGTCAAATTTCAAGCAAATACTTCAGTAAGAAATTTGTATCTGCACTCAAACTTAAGAGAAATGTGGATAGAAAGCTGAACATGATTTCACAAAAGCATACCATGATCGGAATAAAAAGATGCCCAAGCCTATGCCTGTGTTCAGATTTATATGAATATCAAACATTCATACAACATCATATATCATAGACAGCAATAATCCAACTATGTATCCAACATTTCAAAATATTTAGTAATATAGTCATGCACCAAGCTGCTTACCATCTATCTCTCATTTATCTATGAACAAACTGATGAAGGCATAAGTTACAAACAATGCCACACCAGTTTGGAATTATGATTAATAGGGTGGTATTTATTTAAAGGAGAAAAAACTTACAGATCACCGTCCCAGACAACAGCCCTCTGCGCAACCAGGAAGGGAGTCTAGTCACCGGAAGCAGAGCAGGAAATGAATAGAGAGAGGAGAGGGAAGTGGCCGCTTTTTTAAAGGGAGAGAAACCACGCCCGAATGGGCTGGTATCTCAGCGGCTATAGGCTGGAGGAGTGGAAGGACCTCCCCCAACA